GGCGTTTGTTTCTTTCAGGAAAACGTTGTTATTGTTATTAGCACTTGCGGGGTGCGTTTGAGACACTCTTGCGTCGGAGGGGTTTGGGTTGGGCTGTTCACAGAGTGGTAGGTAGGTAGGTAGGTAGGGAAAGGGAGACGACGGAGATGTGGAGGGAGAGAGAGACATCTAACAATGTGCTTGGAGGTCTGGTTTTGGCGATCGCTGGCACCGCCCGTAGWGTAATTGGCCACGTCGGCGAGGTCTGGTTGTGGCGATCGCGACGTCGGCGACGCGGCTATGCTCAAGACGCATCGCTGTTCGTTTGGGCGATGATTTACAATCGCGATCAAACACACTGCTGGTGGGTCGTACGCCACCATATCGAGCGGCTGTTTTTTCTGTTGAAACCAGATCGAGGGAGGGATTCTAGCGGGAGAAATTGGCGGCAAATCTAAAGGGGGAATTGCGAGCATCTTAATTCTTCAACTGGTATCGAATGGAGTGCAGGCAGGTGATCGTTGAGACAGGAGGATCGTTGGTAGATTTGCGCCGAGGAAAGAAAGCAGTGGCAAGAGGTGCATTTGTAAGTTTGTAATTATTATGACTATCATTCAATTTGGCAAAGCCCTCAATGTGCAGGGCTGCGATGATGGGTCTGATTCTATCTGCTTGCCTCAATGTGCGGGGCTGTGATGATGGGTGTGGTTCTATCTGCTTTCATCTTTTGTCCTCTTTTACTCTTTCGTTTTTTTTCTCCTTMTCTCCTTCTCTCTTTCTCTCTCTCTTTCCTTTGCTCCTTCCCCCTACGCCTGAGTCGTAACCGCTAATAAAGAAATGGCACCACGACATTCCGCGGCATTTTCGTTGAAGAGGGGCGGAGAAGAGAAATGATTTGTACATATGGCGGCAGTCGGATTGTGTTTTCTGCGTTACTCTGCGATCAGCCGGGTTGAAGGTCACTCCTTATTGTTGAGTCGGTTGATTGTGAACAGTAGTTAAAAAGTGGTGGCGATTGACGACAAATCAGTCATTTCACATCCATCCATGCTGATTGAACTTAACGCCGCGGTGAAATTCCTGTGGGGCGGAAGGCTGCGCAGGCTCGCACGACTGAGCATTCGTTCTCGACTGTGCGTACATCGCGCTGTACATAACTCTTCGGAGCTGCTCGACGATCCGCCGTGGTTCGGTTTCAGAYCTGCATAGCATGCGCCTCATAAACCCTCTTGTGAATAGGTACAAAGATGGCCTCCCATTTCCTCAGCTACGCTCTCCAGGAGTGATCAGCTCCCTTTGCGGCAAGGATAATGAGCTTTGTCGAGAAGCGGTGTGTGGCGCTGYTGCCGGAATCTGTGGAGGATTGCGGAGGTCGTCCCTTGGATGTGAAGTAGGCAGAATGCACATGCCTGCACGTGACAGATTTCAACGCAATGTAATGTGTACTCACTAATCAACTGAACGAGGCACATGATTATGCCGCCGAGCTAACCCCACACGACAGGACGCAGGGACAAGTTTTCGGATCCTCATTGGAAGGCATGGTTTACTTCACGATGCTGTATGCAAAGGAAAGTGATCCCTCCATATTCAAAGGAAAAGCAGCTGCAGGCTGTGCAAATGCACAGAAGACGCGCTATACACAGAGAATTGGGGTAGAGCTTGGAAAAGATAATGCTAGATGTGAGGGCACGCAGAGAATTGGGGTAGAGCTTGAAAAAGATAATACTAGTTGTGAGGGGGTTGCCACGTGGCATCTCATTCAAGGGTAAGCCACATGTCTTGCTTGATAGGAGCTGCATGATTAGTGTCTGACTTTACTTCGGCGGTCATACTACCAGCAATCACCGTTTCTGGTCATATGCGGATTCGGAGATACCGGCGGTTGTTCATCTTGGCGATCTACGGCTACAGCGCATCTTTTTTTTTCTTTTTTTTAAGGACTCAGGCTTGATGTGGAGAACGGACAATTGAGAGTTGTGACAGCGGGTCGGTCGGCAGATAGGCAAGATGTAAATAACTGCAATTGTCTAGAGGCGGCGGGTTTCTATCTTTGTGACTAAAAGAGGCGTTCAATTGTTTCGAATAATACAGGAGTTCAACTGGCGATGTCGTTTGTGTGGGAGGTCTCATTGTTGTCTCTGACTCGACGAATACTCGAACTCGTGTATGGCTGTGATGGTTGGGGTTCCGTTCTTCCTCGATCCCTCTGTTGCCTGTTTTCGTCCATTCTTTCGTGCATTCACGGCTTCGCTGCATGCATATGGCTGAGGGCATACTCACACTACCGGTAGCACCTGCTTTCTTACTGCTGGACAAAATAGCGGCCAGAGGCGTACTGGCCCCCTCCGTAAATGTGGGACGATACATTTAGCAGAGGGCTACGGTGGTGTGAGTACCATTGAGTTGAATCGCTTGGGGACCTCGCGCCATCACTCTCAACATTGTGGGAAACGAGAGCACATCTCCCGCTAGAACATGGAAAGATATACGGCCATTATTTTAAATTTGTCTTTCGTGCATGTCGAGATAGTCGAGCGAGGGTCTGTGTTTATTGACTTACCCTGAGGGCACGGGTGCGCAGCCTGTAGTTCGTCGTTTGTTTATGTGGTTTGGGAAGGGTAAGGTAGTGATTATGCTATATTTATGTTATGTCATGGTCGCTATATATAACTCGAAGAGAGTGCGTGTGCGGTCCCGGTTGGTGCTTCATTGACCATGTTCA